AGAAACGATGTACAAATGCGCTTTACACAATTGATGTGTGTATGGATTGGGATAACAGTTGTATGAGCCCCTAATAAAATGTTAAAAAACAAAAAAAAACTCCTCGTTAGTAAAGGTAGGCACCCTGGTGCGTAGCGGTTACAAGTTGGGCTGCTAACCGGATGGTCAGCAGTTCAAAACCACCGCTAGCTCCTCAGAAGACAGGTGAGGCATTCCACTTTCCCAAAGAGTTACAGTCTCGGGAACTCACAGGGACAATTCTATCCTGCCCTATAGGGTCGCTATGAGTCATCAACTCAGCGGCTGTGAATTGGTTATTGAAGTACTTAGGGACCATCAAAATGAGAGTTTCATCATGCAGTCTGAGTAGGCTGCGGACAAGAGCCCACTAAAGAAACCAGCTGGGAATCAGGAAACACGTTTCAATCTGTCCTCCTCCCCTGGGTGACCTTAGGGAAAGCACTTGTTCTCTTTTTGTGAAGTAAGAGGATGAGGTTTGATCAGGGATCCAGAGATGGTGGTTTAAGGACAGTCTTCATAAAACTCTTGTAAGGATACACTCAATTCCATTTTGTGTATAAGGCTCCCCGGCCCCCACCCACCACTACCCCCAGGAGGTGAAGGAGATGAAATTTTCACCCAATTCACAAAAGAGCTCTCCTATTCTATTCCTCCTCAACCTCGTCTTGACGATTCTGGAAGCGAAGTCTGGCTCCTGAGGCACACAGAAATAAATGATTGCGGTAGAATCTTGAGTCCTGGGGCCCGATCTTTCTAGATAGTTCTCTTCAAGTGTCCTTGCCGCTAATGGCCCAGGGTGACAAAGCATTCGAGGAGCTATAAAGACACACCCTCCCGGAGCCGTGTGTCACTTCACGCTCAGTGTCACAAAAGCTCTGCAGCCAGAGTGGCTGCACATGAACCCTAAGCACCTGCATGGTCCCCTTTCCTGCTGCGGACCGTCCCCCTTCTCAATCTCTCTCCTACTCCACAGGAAGGAGCGCCAGCCTCTCCTCGATGGAAAGATGGGCTAATGGCAGCAAAGAAATCCAACGGGGCAGTTCTACTGTCGTGAAGGGTCCCTATGAGTCGCCACGGGCTCCAAGGCCGTGGGCCTTTGCTCCCTCTTTTTCTTGCTGGTGACTGGTCAGCAATCCCTTCCTTCGGGATTCCCTGCTTTGGATGGGATAGGTCTGACCAGGCTGCACAGTGAACTCCCGTGGGAAGAGGCCCAGCAGGGTGATGCTGATGAGGCGGGCAGGCTGGCGAGGAAGGGCAGGGGATCCGGGAGCGCAGGCAGCCCGGCTCCGGGGGCGGGAGCAGTAGGAACCAACGTCAAGGTCAGAGCGAGTCCAAAGGGCTGCTGACTCTGCGCGCCCTGCACCCTACACAAGCGCCTTCCCAGCCAAGCGCCTGCGCCAACTGGGGCCCGTACGCCACCGAGGCAGGGGTGCGCGGGGGGGCGGGGCCCGCGGTCCTTCGCTGCGCCCCACTCGGGGCTCCCTCGGGCCCTGGAAAGTTGCCTGCCCCCCCGAAACCCGAAGGTGGCAGCGA